CTATCTATTTAAATTTTGATGTAATCAATGATGTTTTATTCAAACAAGAAGATAAGGATTGTCACAAAGTCAAGAGGTGGTCACCCACTTAATAATTAGTCATCAAATATATAGTTCCAAATTTAGACTTGTAAAAGGAGGCATTTGCCATACATTTAGGCATCTTGGTTTTGAAATCAAGATCATGTTTTTGCTCTCTTTCTTTATATTTTTGTAATGCTTAAGTTTTGCTTTTATTAATCTTTTTATATGCCTTTCATTTCCTTTACTATACTTATATAATCATGTTCTCCTCTTGTTTATTTATGTTTCTCTTCTTCATTATGTTTTATTAAGTTTATTATATCAAGGTGAAAATGTTTCACTAATAGTATTAAGAATCAGTATAGTGTAAATTCAACATGGACTTTAATGTTTGATACTAATATATTTTATATTTGTTATCTTACTCACTTTTAATACATTGCTTTAATGGTTAATTTAGATTTGTGTTGAACAACTCTTGGTAAAATAAATACTTATACTTTCATAGCCCAACTGTATGATATAACTGATACCCGTGCCATGAAAAGAATTTGATTTATTGTTAATATAAGTTATCACTATAAATACTTGTTAATATTTACAAGTATTAGCATTACTTTAATAAGATAATTAATATAATCATGTTAATAATTTATAATTTGATGGGAACTTCTTTTGTGTGTGGTTTTCAATCAAGTAATAAAAATAGTTTATACTATACTTATTTGAAAAACCATTAATGAATCCTCTAACCTTAACAATTATTTTATCCTTGTTTAATCCTCATATTAATCTCACATTTCAAAGTCTTTCTAAATTCTTTCTTTTATTATATATATTATTTGTAATTTATATAATTGGTCTTTCTATGGTTTGATTCCGATCTTGCTGGATTATTTGTTACTTTGACACTCCTACACTTGGGAGAAGACATCAATCTTTTGATCATGTCAGTAATAAGTTAGATGTATGGGGGAGGACAAAAAACTAAATAACAGAGAATTTATGTAATCTCTCGAGGGTTGACTTAATTAAAAGTTGAATTAAAGAAAATTACTTAACATATTTTATATATTATGTTATAAATTAAAAGTTGAATTAAAGAAAATTACTTGACATATTTTATATATTATGTTATATCAAAGTATAGTTAATTATGTGTGAATAATTTTTCAGATACCTCGTAGGAGCATGTTGATCCATACTTCTTTAAGAGTTGTATTTTTGTTTAGAAATTGTGATGTAACTAATTAGGTCATATTGAAATGTAAATATTTCTTTTGGACTTGTACTAAAATGTTAGTTAATTAGCTTGAAACTAATGATGGAAGTCAATTAGCTTGAAACTTTGGATGATTTAATTTATATTTTTCAATAACTTCGCTTTAAAACCTTAAATAGAATACATCATGTATTGATTTGCCATTAAAATTCATGTTAGGTTGTAATTTAAAAATATTCACAAAAATATATGTTCAAAGATATTTATAAAAAATGTTTGAATAAATCTTAAAATAAAGATTTTAAAGTTCAATTAATTTAATATATTGAGAATGTCAAGTCCCAAATGAAGGGATACTATGTTGTGAACCGTTGTTCTTTACCTGGGGTTTGGGAATAATATCCTCATTTTGCTCAATTCCTTGGTGATGATTGTGCCTTAGAATTCTTCTAACATGTAATTGAAAATGTTAGTGATTTACTTATTCCTGTGTTTTTTACTGTTATTGGTTGGATAGCGGATTTTAATATTTTAGCTGCATATCTGTATAATAGTTTTTCTTTATGGATTTAGATGTTTATCTTCTCAAATTTGTTTTTGTGCCTATATCTATTTTCTTTTTTCTTGCATTAGCAATGTACCCTGGTTTTGGGTGCTTGTTCAATATATCTTATCAAGGATCACATTTGATAGTGCACGTGTATTTCCTATGAAGAAAGGCATTATATAGCTATCCGTGTATTCAACCAGGGGCTAACGAATTTGGTCAACTGGGAGATGGCACTGAGGAGGGCAGGAAGTACCCGAAGAAAGTGAAGCAACTGGAGACAGAGTTTGTGAAATCTGTATCTTGTGGGGCACATTGTACTGCTGCTATTGCAGAGCCTCGTCAAAATGATGGAACCGTCTTGAGTAGACTCTGGGTTTGGGGACAAAATCAGGTTGTCATTTTATTCCAGTTAACTTTCCTTTCCTATAAACATCAGTAGGTATTACCCTGTTCAGTTTTATTATGTTTTATTGAATTTTATACTTCTCATCACAGGGATCAAATTATCCACGTTTGTTCTGTGGAGCCTTTTCACCAAACACGGTATGTTAAAGATCAGAGTTTGCATTTTCAGTTATAAACTAACTAGTTTAAACAACTGCTGGTATTCTAGTACTTAAGCTGATTCATTATGAAAATAGATGCAATATATTCCATAGTCCTTCAATATGCTATTCTTCTTACTTGGATATGGCATTTTGGCCATTAACTAAAAGTAATTTCAGTCTCTGTTAATCTTTAATTCTTTGGTTTTTACCTCTCATCATAAATCTGTTTTGTGTTCATTGATAAGAAACATTACTACCAAGCATAAGCTGCAGATCGAATAAATGTTGAAATCTTTATCTCTAGGTTATGAAAACTAGTTGAGTTGATAACTTGGTATTAAAAGATTAGAGAAAATTCTACTGAAATTTTGATAGAAAAAAAAATCTTATAAGTTAAATGTTAATACAACATATATGCATGTAACATTGTGTAAATAAATTAGGGTCGTTACATATGTGACCAATTTTCATTCATTCCATATTTATAACATGTAATTTTTTATGTTCATAGTGTCTCCACTATGTATATTCTTCCTCTTGTCTTGTTTCTCTTTATTTTATGAAGGTTTGTTAGAATTATGACCATTATAGTTGTCAAAATTAAATTGTCTTTGCCTATAGCCACGTTCACGGACTCTACTATGACCACGATCATGATGACAACCATTAAGTTGAAGTATTTAAATAAAAAAAATTTCTTATCAAATTAACAAATATGATTATCAAATTAGAAAAGAAAGAAAATGAGTACAGGGACCGAATCTACTCTAAATCATAGTTATTAAATCTAGATGAAGGGTTGGTCAAGGGGTTAGATCCTAGGTTACACAAATTAACTTAGGTCAATATGGAACAAAAAAATATTTAAGGTTCTAATATGAGGTTTTTTTTATCTCATATTAAAAAGATACTATTTTATTTTTTTTAATTTGAAGTATTTAAATAAAAATAATTTCTTATCAAATTAACAAACATGATTATCAAATTATAAAAGAAAAAACACATAAGTACAGGGACTGAATTCACTATAAATCATAGTTATTAAATCTAGATTGAGGGTTGACCTAGCTAATGAGTTAAGTTCTCGGTTATATAAGTTAACCTAAATCAACATGAAAAAACAAAATATATATATATATATATAAGGTTTTAATATAAGTGTTTTTTATTTGATATTAGAAAGATATTATTTTATTTTTTTAAATTAAAGTATGCAAATAAAAAGGTTTTTTATTTTATATTAAAAAACACAACTTTCTTTTTATTTGTGTGTGTGTGTGTGTATTAATGGATTTTCAATTTGATATAGAAAAAATAAAATATTATTTTAGTATTTATATAATGAAATTTGATATATAATAATAATAATAATAATAATAATAATAATAATAATAATGATCGGCTCGCTTGCATAAAATTTGATTGAAAAAAAAAAAATTTAATGGCTCTCTATGCAAGCGAAGCAAAGCTATATTTTATGTGTCCTTTTTCCTTTGTAATTGTCAATAATTCGTTTATCTCTCCATTAACTAAAACTATTATTTTTTATTGTTGTCCATCCCTGTTAGAACCACATTGCTTATCTGGTATTTTTTTATAGCTATTTTTTTTATTGCTTTCCAACCCTGTTAGAACCACATTGCTTATCTGGTAGTGTTAGTTGGCATGCTAAAAAAAACTATAATTTTGAATTTTTTGGGTTAAATGAAATGCTTGCATTGCAGCAAAAAAAAAAAAAAAAGAGTTATTACATGCTAAAATGTATATGTAGTAAAATAGAGAAAAAGGTTTAGAGTTATTACATGCTAAAATGTATATGTAATAAAATAGAGAAAAAGGTTTATGCCTTACCACAAAAAAAAAAAACATAAAAATAATAAAAGATAATCTCTTCAAGGTTTTATTGAGTTACTGAATTTGAAATTAATCTAACAAGTTATACGGTTTTTTTCTAATTAATTATAGACTCAAGTTTTGCTAGATTTAAGATTTTGTTTGGTTTTTTATTTTAAAAATATTAGATAATTTTTTTGTTTTAAATTAATATTTTCATATTATTTTAATACATTAATATTAGAAATATTTTTTAAAAAATAAAAAAAATATTATTTTAATATATTTTTAAATAAAAAATACTTTAAAAAATAATTACAATCATATTTTAAAACAATCCTTAAATTTAACTACGACTCAAATCCCTGATAACCTAATAGAAGAAATCAAGTTTAATAATTATGTTCTAATTTTATTTGTTTTGTTTTTGTGATTTAAAAATATTTTTAAAAAAATTTAAATTTTTTATTTTTATTTTTTTATTATTTTGATGGATTGACCTTAAAAATAATTTTTAAAAAATAAAAAAATATTATTTAAATATATTTTTAAATAAAAAATAATTTAAAAAATAAACATAATAATTATACTCGAACGGGCTATTAAAAAACCCCAAATTTCTTAAAATTTCACAGGGTCATTTCCGTTATCAGATAAAAACTTGAAATAAAAAAAATAAAAAAAAAAAAAGAAGAAGAAGAAAAAGAAGAAGAACAAGGGAGCCTACATCGTAGCTGATCACGTCAGGTTAGGGATGAGAGAGAAAAACTAACTCAAATAGATGATAGATTCGGTCAGTCTGGCAATCATTGCCAGGCTGTACACAGCAGCACTCTTTTTTTTTGTTTTTTCTTCTCTTTCAACCAATATCTCCCCCTCCATCGTTGTACTCTCCTGAAATAATCTATCTCCATCTGGCCGCTGTATTTCCACTCTACTGCTGCAAGCACCCCAACGCCTCTCTTCTTCATTCTACACACATTACCCGCATCTACTCCACCAGCCTGTTGCTGCTAACCTCTGGTCTACCTCCTCCTCCTCCTCCTCCTCCTCTTCTTCTTCTTCTTCTAACAAATTTTAAAAAGCCTAATTAAAACCACCCCCACCTTCTCCCTTTTGTGTTTGTGTATTTAAAGTGAAAGGCAAAGAGCAGAACAATAATGGATCCTTGCCCTTTCGTGCGCTTAACAGTAGGAAATCTGGCTTTAAAAATCCCTGTCGCTTCAAAACCTGCACGCTCTGTGGTTCACCCATCATCTTCTCCTTGTTTTTGCAAAATCAAGCTCAAAAACTTCCCTCTTCAAACGGCTGTCATTCCTTACATTCCTTCTCAATTTCCTGAAGGTCAGCTCCAAACTGTAGCTGCCACTTTCCACCTAAGCAAGTCTGATCTCGACCGGCTCGTTGCCAAATCTATTTTCACCAACAAACTCCAGCTCAAAATCTCTCTCTATACTGGCCGCCTCGGCACTACTTGTGGAGTTAACTCTGGGAGGTTGTTAGGGAAAGTTTCTGTACCTTTGGATCTGGCGGGAACGGAATCTAGAGGTGTTACGTTTCATAATGGATGGATTTCCATTGGAAAAGAGAGTGTAAAGAGTTCCTCTGCTGTATTTCATTTGAATGTTAAAGCTGAGCCTGATCCAAGGTTTGTTTTTCAATTTGACGGAGAACCTGAGTGCAGTCCCCAAGTGTTTCAGATCCGAGGCAATATCAGGCAACCTGTTTTTACTTGCAAATTCAGCCTTAGAACCACCGGTGGTGGTGACCGCAATCGGAGATCCATGTTAGTTTGTTTTAGGGTTTTATCTTGCATTTTAATTTTAGTAAAATCAAGCATTAATTTTTTTAAAAAAAATAGAGTAAAGCGCTGCATTTGTTAATCTCTTAATCCAACTTGTTTTTATTAAAAAGAGACTAATACAAGCTGATCATGTTTTTTTAGGTGATTAAAAACTTAATTATATATCTTTTTGGAGATTATTATCCTATCTTATTTCGTGCTATGCTCGCTAATTAATGTGGAGTTACTTGTTTCTGTTTTTGCCCAGATCATTGCAAGAGGAGCCCAGCAGCTCAAGGAGCTGGGTAAGTTCATTTGGTAGCGAAAGAGAGAGACCACTGAAAGAAAGAAAAGGCTGGTCAATAACAGTCCATGACTTATCCGGCTCACCAGTTGCCGCAGCTTCAATGGTTACTCCATTCGTACCTTCACGTGGTTCAGACAGAGTAAGCCGCTCGAACCCTGGTTCATGGCTCATCCTCCGCCCTGGAGCTGGTACATGGAAACCATGGGGCCGGCTGGAGTCTTGGCGCGAGCGCAGCTCGTCTGATGGACTTGGCTACCGTTTTGAACTCATCCCTGACACAAACGGCACTATGAGCGCAGCCAGTATTCTATTAGCCGAGTGCACACTAAGTTCGCACAAAGGAGGCAAGTTTGTAATTGATTTAGGAGCCTGCTCAAACGGACGAACCACGCCGGAAAATTCGGCTTCTCCTGTGTGTAGCCCGAGGGGTAGTGGCGATCACGGTTATGGATTGTGGCCTAATTGTTTGCACAGTGGGTTTGTAATGTCGGCTAGCGTGGAAGGAGAAGGGAAGTGCAGTAAACTTGGCGTGGAAGTAGGTGTGCCGCACGTCAATTGTACTGAAGATGCAGCTGCTTTCGTGGCATTAGCTGCTGCCGTTGATTTGAGTATGGATGCTTGTAAGCTTTTCTCGCAGCGGCTAAGAAAAGAGCTCTGCCAAGATCAGGATATGCTTGGTTGACAGGGGTGATGATTCTGGAATTTTTTTTTTTTTTGGCGGGGGAGCGGGGCGCTTTTACGTTGTCGTTTTGTGATAATTAATTTTTTTCAGGTGGATGGATTTTAATATTTTCCTGCTACCAAGTACAAACAAATAACTGACTGTGTACAGGGAGCAAGATTAGACAGGCACGCTTCGTTTTCATTTGGGTGGCTCGTTTTTATTTGTTTTTAAGAAAAAAACGATATGAAGGGGATGTTTTGTATTGTTTTCGTGATATTGTTTTTTTAATTAGATTATTTTGATGTGATGGTGTTAAAAATAAATTTTAAAAAATAAAAATATATTATTTAATGTATTTTTAAATAAAAAATATTGTAAAAAATAATTGATGCATTGTTTTATATGACTGTTAAATTATATTTTTAATTTTTAATTATTTTTTTGTGAGTTTTTGTATTATTTTAAAATAATAATGTTAAAAATAAATTTTAAAATTAAAAAAAATATATTATTTTTAAAATAGAACAATTACATTCGAATTTTTTTTTGTTGAGATAATTTTAATAATTTTTTAAAAAAATATTATAAATGTTTGTTAAATGTAAAAGATAATATTTCAAAAATAAGTAAATATTAGTTTTAATCTTGTTATATAAATAATATTTTTTTAAATATAATTTTTTTTAAATTTAACAAATATATCAATTCATTATTAATGGATATAAAACTAAGCATGTGTTCAAAAGTAAAAATAAAAATTCAATTTCATGAGCCATAAATATATATTTTTTACAATATTATCATTGATTATTTTAAAGAAAGAGAAAAATAATAACTAATTAAATATATATAAAAAATTAAGAGTATTTCATTGAAAATCAAATTATTTTCCAGTATAAACTCTCTCAATTGGTGTGGTTCAAACGAAAGAATCCCTTGTGATACTATTGTTGCGATGTCATGATTGTACAAATTAATTACCTTAGTTTAAAATACAACATACAAGATAATATAGAGTAAGTAAGGGATCAATCTCATGAGAAAGGTTCAAGTTAGATTTTTATACTAGATGTAATGCAACTTAGAGGTGTTTTGGATTTTATCTAGACTAAAGAAAAAAAAACAAAAAACTATCAAGTAAAATTAAATAAAATCAGAAAATTATCAAGATAACAAACCTTGATAGCAAGCACATATTCACTAATAGAAATCAGAACTGATCATGGAAACAAAATATCAATTTATATTCTAAATATTTATCTCTTTTTAATATTGATTAGTCAACGGATTCGCCGTATAACTAACCCTAACCACCGCACTAATGATTTAATTTAATGGCAGCCTTTAGATCTAGATAAGTTGATTAATCAAGAAAAGATAATTGTTCGTAGTCTATATTTGATTTGATTGAATGTTCTCTTTAAGATTAATAACGTAGATCCGCCACAATTATTAAACTTAGTTGCTTCACAAGTTTATACTACAACTCCGGTTTTGATATCAAACTTAACAATAGATTGTCTAAAATAATAATTTAGAGTTCGTTCTAACAATTAAAATAAACAATCATGAAAAAATAAACATAAGAAAACAAACATATTCATCATATAAATTGAAAAGAAAAGGTAAAATAAATCTTATAGTTCTTGAAATCTGAAGGTTTCCGTATCTTTGTAACCAAGAAAAAGTGTTTAATCTTGCATGTTTGTTAAATAACTAATCAAAAAGAAGGAAAAATGCATAATTTCAAGTTTCTTAGAGGAGGGGGCGTTTTTCTTCTCTTGGGTGGCTGCCCCCCTTCTCTTCTCTCATTCTTTTTATATCATAGGAAACCCTAATATCTATTTTACAAAATAGTCCTTCCTCTAGTAGACAATTTACATTTAAGTACTTCAATAACTATTTTTCTAAAAAAGACAAAATAGTCATGTATGAAATCTTCAAGCTTTGACTTAGAAAAGCTAAATTGTTGAAATAAAAACTTGGATATCGGTTTAGATGCTTCAGAACATAATCTAAACTCGTTTTTTTACGAAACCTGTTTGCTGGCAGAATTCAGTTGTCATCTTTAAAAAGTCATATCTCCAACATATAACATCTTTTTTTGGTTGAAACTTTAAGTGTTTATACATCTTTGAGTCAGGAATCCAATAAAATTAAGTTTGCATCAATTAGACTTCTGTAGCTCTAGATATTCAAATCGGAATGACCAAATATCAACACTAGCAGATTGCAAGATTGGACTTTAAAAGCTGCTATTTCCATACTCTTTCTTATTTTATTTTTTTACCTTAGATATCCAAAAAAGATATGAATGTTAGCTTTTTAATGCCACTCGAATCACTTTATTTTGATCTCTAGAATTCACGCTCTACACAAAACATCGATTAAAGGTTAAATCTGTCAATTACCTCCAGTTTACTTTTTTTTGCATCTTTCATTCAAAAGTGCCTTCAAAACATAAAATAAAATATATCAAGGTATTTTATATAAAAAAAATAGATAAAATACTAGTTAAATATATGTAAAACTATTGAAAAATATAGTTGCTTACAAAAAAAATATTTATTTTTTAAATTCTAAATTTAGAAAGACTTTTGAAAAATAGTCTCCCACGTTATTTTTTAAAGTTACAGATGAGATATGGAGCTCTGGAGTAATAACGTTTACAACTCTTTAAACCATGGTATTTTTTTTAAATAAGTTATGAACTGTGCTATTTTTAAAATAAAGTCTCCTTTAGCAAAAAACTTTTTTTAAAAAAACCCTTAACAACTGAAGTGGGAGGCTGTTGCGGGGAGTGCTGCGCGTGCACGCAATGACTAATAAATGAAAAGGAAAAAGAAAAAAGAGCAACAAAAGAAAGAGAGAAAGAAGTGGATGGTAGCTGTAAAGCGCTTTTGAGTTATATAATATTAGGCTATGGCCTTATATCATGTTTGGTATGAATGAAGTGTGGAGCTGCTGCATATTATTGCTATTAATTATTAGGAGCGTTTATCTGACTTATGCAGCAAATAGCTCATTTTATAATCTTAAGTTTTCCTTTATAGAAAGATCGGATCCCACTGTCAGCACATTTTCAGTTGAATTTGTGTTGCGGCAAAAACTGTTTCTGGAACCGACCATGAATAACCGACATCTGATTCTGAAGGCGAGTTAAAGTGGTCCGGAAACGATTTCATAATTTGGACTAGGCCCGTGTTAGGACTCCTCTTTCTCGGGGGTGGGACTCCAAAATTAGGAGTCACGTTCACGTCTGTAGGGCTGACCTGAAACTGTCACAGCTTTTGTTGGAAAATGAGGTCTGAGAAACATTGTGGGGTTGGCTTGCGGTGTCTCACTGTTACACATGACATGCTAACGAGAGGGGACCGAAATTAAATACTGCTATGCTAGCATGAGAGATTAGAGAGCTGGAGCTTCTGCCTGTCCAGTAAGAAGTACGAGGAATGGGCCTTTTCTTTTCTTATCTCTAAAATTTACGTATAATTTGATCCGCGTAAAGTTACTGAGTCACGGGACGACTTGCAGCCAGATTATTATTATTATTATTATTATTATTATTATTATTCATTTGCTTATGACTTGCAGTGGCTGTCTCTCAACCGGTGTTCTTTTCGCTGGCCCGCAGACGATACAGCGTAATTTCTTAGAAGAGAGTTTGCTCTGTTTGGTATTTGCCCTCGCGTAAAATTTAATTTTTTTATTTAAAATTAATTTTTATATTTTCTTAAATTATTTTGATATCTTGATGCTAAAAAAAATTTAAAATATTATTTTAATGTATTTAAGAGGAAAAAAATACTTTACAATACAATCACTCCAAAAACTTCTTTTTTTTTTGGTATCATTTGAATCATGTTAGAATCTACAAGTCAGTTGCCCAAGCTGCATATAATTTTTTCATAATATAATTAAACCCAACCAAGCTCTAGTGGGTCAATATAATGACCGTGTTGCGTTTTAAAGCAAATTAAATAGAAGTTTACCTAATAAATTCAACAACCTGGCAGATACATCCTGAATCGGTGAACATATTAAAAAACCCAAGTTGTCTTATAAAAAAATTTATAAATATTAATTTAATATTTTTTATTTATAAATACATTTAATTAAGTTATTTATAAAAATAGATATTTGTTGGATGCGTTGGGCTGGATTGTTTCCTATCGTGAAAGGGGAGCGAAGTCAGAGCTATTCTTTAAGTTAAAAATGGACCACCCAAACCTTAGATACAATGCCTAGTTTCTTTGAGTCGAAAACCACGTAGTTTGGGCTTCTTCCTTCAATTCACAAATCAATTAATGAGAAGTTTTGAGTAGTCTTCAGAAGATAATAAATAAAATTACTAAGGATAAATGCATTTTTTTCATCAAAATTGTTTTTTTTTCATTTAATTTAATGTTATTGACAATTTTTTTTACGGTATAATTTATTGAATGAAAAGCAATAACAATAGAAAAAAAAAAGAAAAACTATATTGATTTGAAATATTTTTAATAAAAAACTAAATTTTCTTATTCACATATTTTTTTTAATTTTTTTTGAATGAAAACATGTTTTTTATTACGATGAGCATTGTTTTTAAGCTAAAAAAACTCATTATAATCATGAAAACAATCTTTAACTAAAAAAATGCATGAATAAATCATCTCCCCGCAATTATTTGAAGAAAATTATATAAAAAATTTACAATTAAAAAATTAAGAAAATATATAATTTACTCTCACTCAATATTAATAAGAAAATTATTTAAAAAAATCATCATATCAGGTTAGTTTACAATTATCCATAAATAAATAAATAATATCCTCATAAGATAGTCATAATCTTTGGCAAAACAATGGTATTTTTATTCATAAGCATATTTTTTAAATAAAAAACAATGACAAATAAAATAAATAGATGTTAAAATTTTAATTATTTAAAATAAATAGGAAAAATGTATTTCTTCAACTAAACTATATTTCCTTATTATTGATGCATCTCTTAATTGTTTTTAATAAAAGCATATTTTTTAATTCTATTTATTATTTTTTAAATAAAAACCTATCATATCTTCAAAAAAATAAAAAAAAATTAAGAGTATATGTCAATATTTTGTAAGTGGTGAATTCCAGAACCTTCTTGAGAACAAATGTGCCTATATTTACCATTTTGTCATTAATAAATGTTTCCGGGTATTTTTTGTACAAACTGTTTGATTCCTGGTACTTTTCACACCTTTTTTTCTGTTAATTTTATTTGAGTGTCCCC